CCGGGCGCCGCGCTCGCCCCTGCCTCGCTCTTCTGCCTCCAACGAAAAGGAAGAAAAAAGCAAGGGGAAAGGGGGGATGATCAAACTTTTGGAGGCGGGCTGCTGGCGGTCCCCGGAGGCTGAGCAAGGCCGGGCGAGGGCGCGCGGAGGGCGGTGGAAGCTGACTCCCCGCCGGCCTGGGGGAGGAGAGGAAAAGGAAGGATTTGGGGGAAATGAAGGCGATTTAAAGTCTCGGCCCGCGGCGCTCTCCACCTTCCCTCCTCCCCTCTGCGGGCCGCCCTCTGCTGCCCGCCGCTGCCCCCTGCTGGCCGCAGCCGGGGACACAGCCTTCGGAGGCCCATGTCCGTCCAGCTGAGAAAAGGACTCACTCCTTGCCCTCCGTAAAGTTGGGGAAACTGAGATACACAGAGAGGGAAAAGGTGGGCTAAGACTGCTTCGCAGGCTCCTCACAGTTCTGAGACTCGGGACTTCTGACATGTGTAGCTGGAAATCTCTGAGCTGGGTGATAGGTTAGAAGAAAGGGAACAGATTCTATTCTCCAAAGGAACCTGGACGTTTAAGGAACAGACAGAACTGGAGCCTAGACTTGGTGTCAGGGCTCCAACGACAAACAGTGGCCCTTCTGCCTTCCTAACTCCATGACTGCAGCTCACAGATTCAGAGCGCCCGAGAGAACAGTCTTTGCTGGGTGCGTAGTGGAGGGGAAGAGGTGCTTGTTAAATGTTGGTCATCGTCCTTGTCACCTTTCAGAATCATGAAAATTCGGTCAAAGACACCTGGAACCCCACTCTGGAGAACAGGTTTTGCCCAATCCAAGCACCCGGGCAAATTCGTGAACCTGAACGACCGTAGTCCGAGCCTAGAGACTAGAAGTAGTCTCCACTTCCACCCCAGCACCAACACGGTCACTAGGGCGCACACACACTCCCACTCACTTACTCCAAATACAAACACACGTAGGCACAGCCACATGCTCTTCCTAGGCTTGCAGAAAACGTGGTGTCGGAAGTCTGGATTGCACACGCAGATGGTGGCAGATGAATGCTTACGCACACACAAATGTGCGCTAGCCTGGTCAGATGCCCTCGCGCATAAGCGCACACCCATGTGCACATATCCCCTTGTAAATTCCTCGGGGCACACAGCCCTCCGCGAACGCCGCAAACATGCATGCACACGTGTACTCACTCCAGCGAGTGTACCCCTCCCCACGCGCACACACCTTTGCGCACAAGCCCTGATATCCCCGGAATCCTTGGGAATCTCCGGGCACTTACTGGGTCCCGAGGTGCGAGACTGGCCGGTCGGTCTTTCCTCGGGCGCCTAACGGCATTTGTATTCATGAGTCCCCGCGCGGGGGCGGGGGTGCGGGGTCCCCTTCCCTAAATGGGGCGCGGGCGCGCGGAGCGCAGAGGCACCGGGAGAGGCATGGATGCACTGGGCTGAGCCGCCAGCCCTGTCCGCCTGCAATGGCACTGCGGCCTCTCTGCGTCCTCTGACTCCGGTGCGGGCTCTGGGCACTGGGGGTGGCTCATAGGTGCTGGGACCGTGGCGCCCGCCGGACCTTTTGAAGTCTCCAGCTGGGGGCGGGGAGGGGGCGCTGAAGGCGGCCTTTTAAACCAAGGCTGCACGCGGGCTTGGCCGAGCAAGGTGTCTGGTTTCAGCAAACTTTAGGAAAAGCCCCGAGCCAGAGAGGGGGGAGGTGGTTAAAAAAAAAAAAAGAAAAAGAAAGAAAAGAAAAAGAGGCCGCATTACTGTGCGCTGCTTCCTGCAGGGGGCAGAGCACCCATGGCTGCCAGAGCAGGAAGGCCTGGAGTGGTGCTGAGAGGCCAACAGGCAGCCGCATGGTGCGCAAGCTCCCATCCTGCAGCCCCGCGTTCTGAAACGTAACTGGCCTTGGAAAACCCTATGTCCAGCAGAGCACACTTAGAGTAGACTAACAGATATGGCAACTGAAGTTCAGCCCTCAAATTTGGAAACACAAAGGAGGGAAAGTTTTAAGAAAAAAATTAACAAGGGAAAAATTAACAGAGGGAAGTCTACCTGCTTCATTGACTATGCAAAGGCTTTTGACTGTATGGATCACAACAAACTGTGGCTGACTGTGAGAAGAATAGAAATCCCAGAACATTTGATTGTGCTTATGTGAGACCTATATTTGAACCAAGAGGTAGTCGTCAGAACAGAGCAAGGAGACACTGTATGGTTGAAAATAGGGAATAGGATACGCCAGGCATGTATTTTTTCTCCATACCTTTTCAATCTGTATGCAAAACAGATCATCCGGATCGCTAGGCTGTGCGAGGAGGAATGTAGCGTCAGGATTGGTGGAAGAGTTATCAACAACCTGCGTTTTGCAGATGATACAACCTAGCTTGTTGAAACTGAGGAGGACCAGAAGTGCTTGCTGCAGAAGGTCAAGGACTGCAGCCTTTAAAATGGATTGAAGCTCAACATCAAGAAAACAAAGATTTTCACCACTAGGCCAATTGACAGTATCAGTATGGATGGTGAAGAGATTGAGATAGATAACAGTTTTAGTTTGCTTGGCTCCACAGTCAACACTCTTGGTACCAGCAGCCGGGAAATCAAGAAAGGAATTGCAATGGGAAAGTCAGCTCAGGAACCTCTCCAGAGTACTGAAGAGCAACAGCATCAGGCTGGAGACTAAGGTGCGCCTGATCCGGGCTAATAGTCTTCTCAATTCCATATTATGCATTGGAGAGTTGGACAGTGGCTAGGGATTTTAGAAAGAGAATTGATGCCTTTAAGCTGTGGTGCTGAAGAAGAGTGTTGAACATACCATGGACTGCTAGGAGAACAAACAGGTTTGTCCTGGCGAGGGTGAAGCCAGGCTGTTCCTTGGAGTCAAGGATTCTGAAGCTCTGTCTGACATACTTTGGACATATTGCAAGGAGGGACCATTCCTTGGAGAGAGACATCATGTTTGGGAGAGTGGAGGGACAGCATAGGAGAAAAAGACTCTCAATGACATGGATCGATTCAGTGATTGTGGTAGTGGGTGTAGGTGTGTCGGAGATGATGAGGTTGCCACAGGATAGAGCATGGTTTAGGGCTCTTATACATAGGATCACTATGAGTTGCAAGCAACTCAATGGTACATAACAACACAAACAAGAGAAGCATGAATGTGGGAAAACTGGGCATTGTAAAGAAAGAAATGCAATTCATAAATATTGACGTATTGGGTATTAGCGAAATGAGACAGATTGACATGGGACATTTTGAATCCCACGATCATAGGATCTATTATACGGGAAAGGAAAAGGTGAGAAAAAACAGGCTCACTTTTATAGTTAAAAAGAGCATTTCTTGGCAAGACGCTGCACAGCAATCCCAGAGGTATGTGATTCAAATCCACCAGATGCTCTGCTGGAGAAAGAGGGGGCAATCTCCTCCTGTACCAGTCAGATCTGATTTGACGGTATGCATAAAAATAATACAATAAAAATTTTAAAAAAGGGAATTTCTAGATCCATCTTGAAATACAATGAATGACAGGATGATATCCAAATGCATACAAGGAAGACCTGTTAATACCACTGTAATTTAAATTTATGTGTCTACAACCAGAGCCAAAGAGGAGAAAATAGATGGTTTTCTATCAACTTTTGCAGTCAGAAGTCTACAGAACATGTAACCAAGACACATTAATAATAATGGGTGACTGGAATGCAAAAGTCGGGAATCAGGAAGAAGGATCAGCAGTTGGGAAATATGGACTTGATGACAGAAATGAGGCTGGGGATAGAATTATAGGATTCTATACAATCAATGAGTTATTCAAAGCAAACACCTTTTATAAGAAACACAAATGCAGGTTATACACATGGATTTCACCTGATGGGATACACAGGAATCAGATTGATTACATCTGTGGAAGGAACCATTGGAGAAATTCAATATCAGCAGTAAAAACTAGGCAAGGTGCTGATTGTGGAACAGACCATCAACTGCTTATGAGCAAGTTCAAATTAAAACTAAAGAAGGTTAAATCATATCCACAGGAATAAAAGTTTTACCTTGAGTCTATCTCCCATGAATTTAAAAACCAACTCAGGAATAGGTTTGAGGCCTTGAACACTAATAAACAGAGACCAGATAAGCTGTGGGAAGATATTGTTCATCACGAATGCAAAAAGTCATTACAAAGAAGGAAGAAGAAAAGAGAAAAATGAATGCCAGAACTGTGCTCTGTTCTGTACCAATCTTATTGTCTCCAATATGCCTATTCCCATTACCCCATCGACTGAATCAAACCGTCTCATTGAGGGTCTTTCTCTCCTGGGCTTCCCCTCTACCCTCCCAAGCATGATGTCCCTCTCCAAGGACTGATCCCACCTTGCAGCAAGTCCAAAATATGTCAGATGGCACTTCATAATCCTTGCCACCAAGGAGGAGCCCAGTTTCACCCTTTCCAGGTTGAACTTGTTTGTTCTCCTAGCAGTCCATGGTATATTCAATACTCTTCTCCAGCACCAAAGCTCAAAGGCATCAACTCTCCTTCTATTATCCCTAGTCATTGTCCAGCTCTCTGATGCATAGCAAGTAATTGCAAAGACCATGGCTTGGGTCAGGAGCACCTTAGTCTCCAGACTGACATTGAGTGCCGAAAAGCCAAGTAAAGGGAAGAAATCAAGAAGTTAAGGAGGCGGACAGAAGATTCTAAAGGGTCGCTCAGGAAGACAAGGCAAAATATAATGAAATGTGCAAGGAGCTGGAGT